GAGGAAACAGAGTAGGGACTGGTTGGGGAAGCTGCCGAATGTGCAAGAAAAATTGTGTTTTTTATAGCTTGCTTGTGATGAATTTGGTTGGGTTTTTCTGTGAGCTTGTTTGAATATGACAAGGAGATGAAAAAGAAAACTAGGTATGGGAAAAAAATTGATAGGCAGCTTCCCCAACCATGATGAATTGTTTGCACAGCAAATACAAATACAGAGAAATAGTTTTTTTGGAACAAACAACAAATTAAACAAGTTCAAGGATTTTTTGCTATAATTCTTATAGATCTAAAAAATATGAAGAAGATAAAAACAAAAGGAGAAATAATAGATAAATTTGAGGGAAAAAATACCTAAAATGTAAGTGTGATTCTCCAGATCTTCTTTGCTTTTCAACTGTTTTCGGAAAGAGACACAGAGAGGGGAAATATGTGTTTTATTAGTAAAGGAAAGTGTTTTCCTTTTGACAAGGAAAGGAAAACACTTTCCTGCGGGTAAAGACAGTTTTTTTATTGACCAGAATTAACTTTCCTTTAACTAACTTTCCGGATGGTTGTCAAACATGAGAAAATGAATTCCTGGAATTTGGTTTCCTTGAAACAAATAAGGCACAAGTATAAAGGCCAATTGTATTTTTATTTAAAAAAAAAAAACATGTAGGAAAAACTTTTAGCCAAGAAAAAAGCTATTTTACCTTCTCTTTTAATGTTTCTGTTGGACCAAGCAAAATAAAAAAAGCTACTTTAACAGTTATTTGGAATTTGATTTTTATGATTAAAAAGTACATGATTACTTAGATTTTGATTTTTATTGTCAATATTTTTATGTTTTTATTTTCAATATTACTAGTGCTTTTTATAAATGCAATGATGAATTATATGCTTTTTAATTATTTACAATTAAATATTTAATTGCTATAAATGAGATTAAATAAATAAATGAATTAATCAAGTAAACAATTTATAACCACTTAAAGTTAGTGGATGAAGTTTCTATTTCAAAATAATTTGTAATTAGTCTAATAAAAAAACTCAATTCTTAATAACATTATTTTGAAACATTGATCTACTTATTTTTATCGCACTAACAAAACTTTCATAATTAAATTGTTAATTTTATTTGAATTTGCAATCATGTTACAATATTATTTATAGAATCAATTTTTAAAAATTTATTGGCAATTTCAATTTTATCAAGAGAGCAATCTAATGAACAAGTTCCATCCATATACATTTTTCTCGAACTATTATATCCTATCTTAGTGTGTTTCAAAATATAATTGTGATGGTTGTTTAAAGTATTTTTCATTAAAAAATATATTTAAATAATTTTTTATATTAGCGCATCAAAATGATTTAAAAAATAAATAAATATTAATTTAAAATAAATAAATAAATTAATTTTTTAAAAACACTTTTAAAACATAAAATTAAACAAAATACTTGGAGCTATAAAGCAAAAAATAAAAAAACCTCTTCCTGATAACTTTCTATTGTGCGAGACTATGAAATTGTTTACCTGACTTAATCTGGACTGCCTCAGGATCCTCTCTTGCACTCAACTCCTAAGCAAGTTACATATGATAGGCTGAATTGTTTTGTGTTAATCTCAATTTGATAAACCCTTTAATCTATCATTAACAACAAATTTTGACCAATAAAAACTTTAAAATAGCACAACATCTAGCAAACTAATAATTAGCCCGAGATTTTTCATAGAGAAAACAAGGTAAGAGATTATTGTATAAAATCAAGAAAGTATTAAATTAGTACAAACCTCATGGTGGAAGGTTTAAGATATGTAAAGCTCTCAAGGCAGACTCTTTGTCAAGATGTGAGCTCAATAACCCATAAGCATTTTGAAGATATTTACAATATAAGCTACAGAAAGATTGTAAATCCATACAAGGGAATAAATTTACACTTACTTATAAATCCATAAGCATTTTGAAGATATTTATACTCTAGGGTTACATACATTTACACTTACTTAATGTGTTATCACGGTTTGATTAGGTTAAACAAGTTTTAAACATCTAAACCTGCATTTAACCTATAATATTTATTTATTAGATTTTTTATTTTTATTTATAATATTTATACTATCCAACTTTGATAAATTAGTTAAGTTGGGTTAGATAATATAAATATTATATACGAAGAATGTGTTTTTTCACCCCCTTATATATAAAGGTAGACAAAGGTTCATCCAACATTCAACAACACACATTGTTGCTTTCATACTTAAATATATTCAAAGGATTTTATTTTCTGCATTTAGTTACTAACTTTTTTCTGCCTCCAACGTACCAAGAAGGATTTATTATTATTATTATAATTATAATAGATGATTTAGACTCAAAAAATAATGTTATATTAATGATGTGGTTTTTAGTTCTAAAATAAAACATATATGAAACGGATATAAACATGTTTGGTTGAAGAAAAAAATAAAAACATAAAATAAATATATCTTTTAAACAATTTTAAAGTGAATATTTGTACTTAAAACACAAGATATAAAAAGACATATCCCCTCTATTTTCATTATTCTTTTTGTTGCATATGAGCTTTTATGATTTTTATAATTAGGTATTATAATTTTATTATTCATCTCTCAATAATAACCATACAATAAAGTTTCTAGATGAATTTCCATTATAAATTTGCTCATATAGTTATTAAATTATATTAAATGAGGATATGAATAAAAATAAATAAAGATCCAAATTATAGATTGGGAGAGTTAATCTGAATTAATTAATTTTTTTAAATAAAAATAATATTGTTTTAATAAAAAAATATTTAAATTATGGGTCAACGAGTTTTTAACATACTTAAGCTAGGTTATTTAATTATTTTTTTTAACCAAACTGGTTCAAAATCCTTTGTTGGTTGGGTTTCTATTGAAATTTTATAGCTAGGCTTAGAACATGTATTAAAAGAAGACCCCTTAAAAATTCTTAGTAAAAAAGAACTCATATTTTATTCTCATGCTCATAACATTAATGAATTTTCTAGTAAGATTTTGATATATGTATGTTATCATTCTGTGGATTCGTCAACAAATTCCTAATAAATAAGCAACTCAATTGTTAATTTTTTTTTTTAATGTTGAGACATTTAATTATAAATATGTAAAAAGTTCAGTCATTTAGAATATCATTTTCCCTAATAATAAAACATAGAATAAATATATTTTACTCAAATTGCTCCAACCTTTATAATTCTTGTAGCATATATATTAAAAAACTAAGAATCGTGTTTAATTAAAGGAATATAAAAACTAAAACACAAATACAAAACAAAATTGAAAACTAATATAGATGTTTGTTGGCTTCATCAAGAACAGCACAACATATTTTTAACTCAAACATATACTTTATCTATCTCGATACTTAAATAAATCTTAGTATTTTTAACTTCAACTCCGTCTCTTTAGAGACAAAAATCACTTCATGCTCATCTCAATTCACACAAATGGAGGAAGAAATATACGCAAATGAGTACAAATTAAATCCTCATAATTCCATATGCTTAAATATTTATGTATTTTCAAAACCCCATTGGAAATCTCTTAATTTATAATAAATTGACAAATGATGAAAAAAATAGAACACGTTGAATCTAAGTTAATTGTTTCAAGCTATTCTACCTCGTATCGACAAAGTGGGCATGATGTGGACTTCTTCAACCAATCGAAGATGTGTTTGCAATATGTTCATGAAATATGTGTTTGCAAGGTAACCTTGTAAGTCCAACCATAGCAGAAAAATTTTCCAAGCAAACCACACAAGAATCACAACAAGATTCATCACCATCGTCCTGCGTGGTCTCCTTCATGTAAAACCTTTCTTTCTTCAACTTGTTCAACGTTGATATTGATGCACCTCTTGACACAACCGCATGATCATCTTCATCAAAATCAAATATTGGCACGTTTATCGCATCCAAGTTCACTTCCTCAACATAATCCTCGACAATCACTACATGAGCCGACACGCAAAACCCTTGACGACCAGCTCGTTCCTTAGCAAAATCACTAACAAAAGAACCAATGTTTGAGGCAACATCATGACATAAAGAAACATCATCAAGATTAAGCATATCGGAGACAATGCCGCACATATAACTAGTGCAAGACTCAGGTAAGGAAACAAGTTGAGGAGGAACTAGGCATGACCTGTGTGAGTCCGGGCAAGATGGGTATTCATTTTCTAGCAACAAGTCTCCTGATCTAGAGTTTTTCCATGTCACTTTGTACTTTCGTTGTAAGAGTATTGAGACTTGGAATAGGGGTTTAGCGGTACACGAATCATGCATATCGGTTCTTGATATATTTAGGGGTGAACCAAAATAAAATCTTCTACTCACTGGATCTAATGAAAGGGACAAAAGGAGAGGCATGTTGGTAGAAACAGATCGATAGAACACGTATAGATACAAGAAAGTTCTTCTTCCTTTTAATCTGTATTTTTACATAGAATGAGTGATGGAACTATAGAGGGTTTGGATATTGGAATCCTTATTCGTATGGGAGATGTAATACTTTATATGTCTGCAGAATTCAGGCTAATTATGGCTGCCATGTGTGAAAAGAAAAGATCAGGGATGATTAGTGGCATGATTTCAAAGACCAGGAAGAAATCAGGGCTTTTATGATCCAAATCATGCGGAGAGAGGCCCGCTAGCCTAGTTGAAACAAGAATGATAAAATCTGCTCCTTAATTAATTTTACCGTCACGGCTATGGAAAAGTGTCCCACCTTTCTCCCATGTGTTCTTTCATGTTCCTTATTTCAAAAGGACTGGACAGCAGAGAACAAAATTTGTTTCCTGATATGATACGGATGAAAGCAGTTCTATCTGTATCTCTTACCAAATTTGTTTCCTGATATGATACGGATGAAAGCAGGATGAAAGCAGTTCTTTCTGTATCTCTTACAAAATTTGTTTCCTGATATGATACGGATGAAAGCAGTTCTTTCTGTGTATCTTACAAAATTTGTTTCCTGATATGATACGGATGAAAGCAGTTCTTTCTGTATCTCTTTAAATGCAAGGCAGAAAATATACACGGGCCGTTTCCACTAATCTCTTATTAAGTTTACTAGCTCTCTTGATTGCTCTTTCAGTTCGTTCGTACGTACGTACGTCTTCTTGTTTGTGTATTGCAAGTAGCTTCAATGGAAGTCACAAGAGTTGATGTTAACCTACATACAGTGAACATAGATGTTTTCGATCCGAGGAATTATGATCCTATGTTCCTTGTTCAAATTACTTTGCAAAGAAAGCGTGAAATGTGGTTGAGTGTCATAGACCAAGAAGAATTACTAATGACCGGTCAACACCAGATTGATTCAGAGTCAGGCTGTGTGTTCGAAGTTCCTATTCAAGAAGTTTCTGTGCCTGCTTCATTCATCCATTACCTTGCCCGAAGGATTTCTGGTTTCAACCTTGATGCTTCCCTCTGTGTGGATTTAGCCTCATTGATTGCTTCCCATGCTTACCATATAGAGGGACATTGTAGAGGATTCTATGTGTCAGCTCATGTAGACCTTGTTGATGTAGATGTAAACGAAGTTGCGGCCTCGGAGATTGGGCCAATATTAGATAGCGAAGGTTTCACTCTACCAAGGGGTGCATCGGAGACATTGTTGAAGAAGGAGAGGTTTTGTAAGGAGCAGGGGGATGCTGATTCTTCTTCGGGTAGTGCTTGTGTGGTTTGCTTGGAGGACTTTTCTAGTTCAGTTAAGCTCATAAAGTTACCTTGCTCTCACGTGTTTCATGACAAATGCATCTTTCGTTGGCTGCTATACTCTAAATCCTGCCCACTTTGCAGAACAGAAGTGGAATAGTTCAACAGCTCAAAATCGACAAGGCACAGTCCATGCAATTATTTAGTTAAAGTTGGCCGGTTCTCCTGTTTTCGTTTAGAGGATTAGTTTGTTCCTTCTCTGTTAATCTGAAAATTTGTTGTAATTAATTTGAATCTAGTACTCAAAATTTTGTTCATTTAAGCAATGGCATGCATTATTAGCAAGACTCTTCTGGGTATATATATGTGCGTGTGTGTTCATGGAAGTATACTAGATCGAGTTAAACCAAGAAGGGTCACCACCTTCCTTGTTCTTAATCTTAATCCCTCCTATTTCTGCTAAGTGGATAATGGGAATATATAGGTGAAATTAACACTTTCTCTCCAAATGACATCAGACGAAATTGAGTTATTCATTAGTGAATTGAAATAATGAAACTTAATTATGCATTAGTGGCTGAGATTATCAGAACATGCCCTGTGTATTATATGTTATATGCAGTACAGTTACGAAAACCAAAAGAACTATTGTTGACATATAACATGCAGTAAAACCAATTTCTCTTGTTGATTATCCAACAATCATTCATAATTTATGAAGGAAATATCTCATCAGGAATTGCCAGAGGATGTGTATGGTGCATGGAATCCTAATTAGCTGAAGCCAAACTTTGTAAAGCAGACAAGGAGTTTTAGCCAGGTGTGGTAGACAAACATCATTAAACTTTGTAAAGAATCCTAATTAGCTGAAGCCAAACTTTGTAAAGAACCCTAATTAAATAGTTTTTCTTCTCTATACTTTCCAGTTTTTTTCTGGAAATTCCACCCTTTTATTTTAATTGAACTGAAACCATGTTCTGTTTTCAATAAATTGAGTAAGGACTAGTAAACACCTAATTTTCTACTGTATTACTTCTCATTAGCTAATTTTTCCTGATTGATGAAGACTTGCAACAAAAAAGGTCACTCTTCCCCTGATTTTTGGAGACAGACATCAATGCTCAGGGTTCTCTGTACGTCATTGGCCATGATTTCGTCAAGAACTTTTGTCCAAAGCATGGAGAAATCAGAAGATATCATTTTCTTGGATGGACGGATGTTGGATGTCAGTAGTTAAGAAATTCGGCCATGCTTTTTATGGTCATCAAAGCCTTGGTCTCCATGTAAGTACCAGTTGCATTTGAACTTTCAACAAATTTGATCGACACTGTTTAAAATTATGATGCGCAGGATCGTGTTTAACAATTTTAGTCAATAGATCGTTGCTACAGAAACTATACAGTTTAGAGGGTAGCAAGTTTGTGTTGATGGCAGTAAATCCAATTGGGTGCCGCCGGTCATGGCCGACGACCGACCAGTAATGGCGGCATTCAAGGTTTGAACAAGGCAGCTCGCCTCTTCAATGCTCACCTGAAGTCTTTAATATATGTCGGCAAGCAAGAAATGCCTGGCTCTAACCTTGTCTTCGTCAATTCATACAAGATGATCAGAGATATTATAGAAAATCATATCTCGAGAGGTACATATTTCTTTTTCATAAGCAAACACATTAACCTGCTAGATGATTCTTTAATGGATGACAGGGAAGTATCCGCTTCATTAGCTGGAATGATTTGACCGGTTTTAGGATCTCTGTATAAACAGGATTCAAAGACATAAGCAGTGCTTGCTATGTCCTTGAATGGAGGAAATGGCATCCTATGCCAAAAAGAAGGGCAAGCCTGTGAAGACAGGAGCATTCATGTTAAACAACTGTCTTCACTTTAGTTTAATTTCTCTCTAAGATAATGCTTGGTATTATTTTGTTTTTTAAAAGTGTTATTTATTTAAAAAATATTAAAATATAATATTTTTTATTTTTTAAAATTTATTTTTGATATTAATATACCAAAACAAACCTAAAACATAAAAAAATTAATTTTTAAATAAAAAAATTTAAATTTTTAACAAACATTCAGCTATTGATAATAATTTATAAGTTTTCTTGGTAATATAATAATTAATTTTTTTATACCTCATTTTAGTATTTGTTTGAAAAATACTATCTCCATAAAATATTTTTTTACATATTATAAATATCACCAAAAACAGTTTCCCTTTCTCCTTGCCCTCAATTTGCTTTTATATTAGGGTTGTATGTTTTTGTATTTTAAAAATATTTTTAAAAAAAATTAATTTTTTTATTTTTTTATTTACTTCAAATTAATATATTTTTAATATTTTTAAATTATTTTGATATGCTAATATCAAAAATAATATTTTAAAAATAAAAAATATCATTAATATATATTTTAATATAAAAAAATATTTAAAAAATAACCACAAACATACCCTAAAAATAACTTTAAAATCAAGGAAATCTCATTAGGAATTATATCTATGATTCATGTACAGTGAAAATTACAATTATTTATTTAGTGTATTATTACTGTTTTGAGAGGAAAATCATATTTTTTTTATTTTTTATTTTTATTTTAAAATTATTCTACAGATAGATTTTTTTATATTATTATAAATTTTTATCTTTTCTAAAATCTTGGACAAATTAAAAAAAAAAAAAAAAACCCTTTTCTTAAAACAAACCATTGGTTGCACAAATCCCACTTATAAATTTCAAAACCTAAAACAAAGCGAAAAAGAAGAGAAAATGAGAACTCAAAATCTCCTCTTCTATCTACTTCTCTTCTTCTGCACTACAGCAACATCACAAACAACGATCCAACCAGGCACCACTCTATCAGCTTCCAACCCAAACAAGACCTGGTCATCACCAAACGACACATTCTACATTGGATTTTCCCAAGTGGGCTTATCTTCTTATTACACGTTAACCATCAACTACAATGGTGGGGTCCCAATTTGGACAGCAGGCAATGCCACCACCACAGTTGACTCAAAGGGTTCCTTTCAGTTCCTGTCCTCCGGCAACCTCCGCCTCCTTAACGGCTCTGGCGCCATCGTTTGGGACTCTAACACTGCTCGACTTGGTGTCACCACTGCTTCACTTGATGATTTTGGTAATTTAGTGTTAAAGAATGAAACTATTTTCGTTTGGTCTTCATTTGATAACCCAACTGATACGATAGTGCCTAATCAGAGTTTTACTGTGAATCAAGTTTTAAGATCTGGGTCTTATTCTTTTAGGTTTCTTAGTACTGGAAATCTCACTTTGAGATGGAATGATAATATAGTATATTGGAATAAAGGGTTGAACTCTTCTGTTGATGCTAATTTAACTTCACCTGCTTTGGGGTTGCAACCAAATGGGATTTTGACAATTTTTGATGTTGCTTTTACAAGTGGGTCGTATATTGTGGCATATAGTAATGATTATGCTGAAGGGAGCACAAGGTTGAGGTTTCTGAGGTTAGAAAAAGATGGGAACTTTAGGATGTATAGCACTGATATAGGTAGCGGAACTGCAACTATGGTATGGTCTGCTTTGACTGATCAATGTGAGATTTTTGGTTATTGTGGGAATATGGGGATTTGTAGTTATAATGAGTTGAGTTCGAGTTTGAGTCCGACTTGTGGTTGTCCATCTGAGAATTTTGAGCCTGTTGATGTGAATGATAGTAGACAAGGGTGTAAAAGAAAAGTTGAGATTGAGAGTTGTGTGGGGAGTGCGACCATGTTGGTGTTAGATAATGTGAAATTCCTGACTTATCTGCCTGAGACAGTATCTCAGGCTTTCTTCGTGGGGATATCAGCTTGTAGGTTGAATTGTCTTTCTCAAAGTTCTTGTATTGCTTCAACATCGTTATCAGATGGAACTGGCTTGTGTTACCTGAAAAATCAAGGTTTTATTAGTGGATATCAGAATCCAGTGCTTCCCAGTACTTCATATGTGAAAATTTGTGGGCCAGCGCAACCTAACCCACCACCTGGTGTGCAGATTGCAGGGAAGAGAAAAAGTTCGAGATTACGTGTCTGGGTTGTTCTTGTTGTTGTTGTGATTACCCTTTTGGGTCTGATTACTGTGGAGGGTGGTCTGTGGTGGTGGTGTTGTAGAAACAGTCCCAAGTTTGGCAGTTTGTCAGCTCAGTATGCACTACTGGAGTATGCATCCGGTGCTCCAGTGCAGTTCTCATATAAGGAGCTGCAGCATTCAACAAAAGAGTTTAAAGAGAAGCTTGGAGCAGGAGGGTTTGGAGCTGTTTACAAAGGGGTTCTAGATAATAGAACAGTTGTTGCAGTGAAGCAACTTGAGGGAATTGAACAGGGTGAGAAACAGTTCAGGATGGAGGTTGCAACTATTAGCAGCACTCACCATTTGAATTTGATCAGATTGATTGGTTTTTGCTCTGAGGGTCGTCATAGGCTGTTGGTTTATGATTTTATGAAAAACGGGTCTCTTGATAATTTCCTTTTCACTTCAGAAGAGCAGTCAGGAAAATTTTTGAATTGGGAGCAGAGGTTTAACATTGCCCTTGGAACTGCAAGAGGAATCACATATCTTCATGAGGAATGTCGAGACTGCATTGTTCACTGTGACATCAAGCCGGAAAACATTCTCTTGGATGAGAACTACAATGCCAAGGTGTCTGACTTTGGTCTTGCAAAGCTTATAAATCCCGAGGATCACAGATATAGGACACTGGTCAGTGTTAGAGGGACAAGAGGATATTTGGCACCGGAGTGGATTGCAAATCTTCCAATAACTTCCAAATCTGATATCTACAGTTATGGGATGGTTTTGTTGGAGATAGTGAGTGGCAGAAGGAACTATGAAGTCTCATCACAGACAAACCGTAAAAAGTTCTCTGTCTGGGCTTGCGAAGAGTTTGAGAAGGGTGATGTTAATGCAATTTTGGACCAAAGGCTTACACACCAAGATTTGGATCTGGATCAAGTGACAAGGGCTATTCAAGTGAGCTTTTGGTGCATCCAGGAGCAACCATCTCAAAGGCCAACGATGGGGAAAGTGGTGCAGATGCTGGAAGGAATTTCTGAGATTGAGAGACCACCAGCTCCAAAGACAATAAAAGAAGGTTCTTTTGGTGGAAGTAATGCAAGTGCGAGTAGCAATGTCAGTGCTCTCTCGACTTTCGAGGTTTTAGCACCCGCTCTCTCATCTTCCTCATCATATCAGACTATAGGAATTTCACCTTTAGCTTCAGTAAGAAATATAGAGAGGACTTCATCACCACTGCATTCAGACTCAAACTGAAGCTCATCTTCACACGGTCCTTTTGCCTACAATACTGAGGAACTTGTATGCACATGTTTTTGACAAAATACTATACAATGTTATGATAGACATAGAACCTTATAAAAATTATTTTTAACTGCAGTATATAGATTTATCAAGAATGACCATGTTTATATAAACCAGTTCATTCAAGAAAGGTGTAATTACTATCCTCGCATGTAAATGCTATATCAAGGTCCAATAAACTGGATATTATTATGCTTTTGCATTTTCCTTTTCCTTCTTGGCTTGAATGGGAAGGTGACTGCTGGACTTCTACCTGTGTTGTTTTTGAGTTTCGGGCCTAGAGAGATGCTTCCTTTGTACGTGTATTCTAGCTTTTTGATTAGTGAAAGTCTTTGATTTGTCTTTGACGGTGGTATAGGCTTTAAGCTGAATCATGTAAAATTGCCAGGCCTTTCTCTTTCATTATGTTTCTCTTTCTCATTATGTTATCCATTACACCCAAAGAATTTTGTTTTGATCCTATGCTTTGAAATTCCCAACAATATTGAAAGAGGACTTGGAGTCATCAGCAGAGCTAACAGTGGTTAGTCTAAATGGAGTTCATCCATTCTGTAGAGTTTTTCCCTGCTGCAACTTTTTCCTTCCTTTCCATGATTAATCCTTCCATGGAGATTCTCGACCTTAACATTGTTTATTTTTTTATTTGAAAAGTGTTTTTAAAAAAATTAATTTTTTTTTATTTTAAATGAATATTTTAGTGTTTTCAATTATATTGATGTGCTAATATTAAATATAATTTTTTTAAAATAAAATTTAAAATAAAAAAATATTATTTTAATATATTTTGCAATAATAAATATTTTAAAAAATAACTATTATTATAATAATAAATGAGTTATAAGAATACTCAATGAATTGTTGGCTTAAACACAACTTAGAGTTTCTTGTAGGGTTTTAAATGAATCAAGTTAAGTTTAAATTTTAAATTATAAATTATTAGATTGATATATAACTTTGGATTTTTAAGAATTTATTTGGAAGTGTGGTTGGAATTGCTTTTTAAATAATTTTTTATTTCAAAATATATATTAATGATATTTTTTTATTTTTAAAAAATTATTTTTAATATTAGTATATTAAAATAATTTAAAAATACTAAAAATATATTAATTTGAAGTTAATAAATAAATAAATAAATAAATAAATTTTTTAAAAGAATTTTTAAAACACAAAACAAACAGGGCTGAACTAACACCTTAAAATCTTTGGGATTAGAACTCGTAGAACCTTGCTTGTCCAAATCTTTGATTTAATTTAAGTTGATTTCTTGGTATCCTTTTGAAGTTATTCTCGTAACTAAGTTTTTTTTTTTTAAATCAACCCGATCTGATTGAACTAGTGAAAATCTAGTTTAATTATTAAAAAAATAAAATAATATTATTTTAAATTAACGATTTAACTCATTACCTAAACATTAGACCGGATCATTTTAATAGTTTTTTACTGCAATGCAATACATCTGCCGTTAGAGAAACCATTCATTCAAATTTGGCTGTCAAAAGACCTTTCCAAATAATCTAAAATAACAATGATTATCATCCCATCCCTTGCCTCCACATTATAGGGCCCAGTGAGACATGAAAGTCAATTGGGAGGCTTTTTACAACCGCTAATCCTGGTGATTGGTGCTCTCCAAGGTGGCTCCCTTCAATATTAAAATTTTATTTTATTTTTTATTTGTTTTAAATTAATATTTTTTAATTTTTTTAAATTATTTTAATACGTTGATATTAAAAATAATTTTAAAAATAAAAAATATTATTTTTAAATATTTTTAAATAAAAATAATTTAAAAATTAACTATATCTATATTTTTAAATATTAGTGCGAATGTTTGGTGGTTGGGTGCTTGCCTTTGGCTCCTTAGAACGGTCCGTACCATAGATTACATTTCATTAGTAAAAAACAAAGTAGAGGTGATATAAATGCATTTTGAAAAAATAATATATGATAGAAAATAAATGAATATTTAATTATATAAAAAATGAGATTAGGTTAATCACATGCCTTGGCTTTTGAAAATCTCTCCCAAAAGGCACTTCTGCTTTTCGAGATGGGTGAAAAGGGAAGAAGTTCGTTGTCCCACATGAGGTTGGAAAGTTGTTGCAGCAACTTTCTTTCTATTGTTAAATTATTCTGGGATTTTCATATATAGTTTTTTTTTTTTTTTAAGATTCTGTCATAATTTGTTGCATTGATAAAAAAATAATTTAAATATTTAATCTCATTCACATCAATTTAATATCCAATGATAGCATGCTAAGCAAATCTCACTTATCATTCAAGTCAACATTTTAAATATTTAATTTTTTTATTTATTGTATACACTAGTCATGTATGCTCCGTTGTGTGGGAATTATATAATTTTAGTTATTTGATTATTTATATATAATCAATTATCATTATTATAATATTATTTGTGTTTTATCATGTTTATTATAATTATTTGTATTTGAACAAAAATATTAGCATATATTGTACCTATAAAAATACTTAAACTAATACTTTAATATTCATATAAGTTTTTTTTTTCTAAGTTTGTATCAGTTTTTTTTATTGATTGAAATTGAATTTAAGAAATTTATATACTAAAAATAAAACCAAAAAGTAATATTTTTTTAAAAAATATATAATATATTTTATCTTTTTAATGCATATTGAATTTTAAGTTTTAATTATGCTTAATTTTTTAAGAAATGATTATTGTATCATTTGATTTCATAATTTTATTAAGAAAAATGATTAATTAAAAAATAATAAGGAATTAACTAATATAGTATCATAAACTAGCAACTTGAAGAACATTGATATGGATAGATCTAGCATAAAAGGTGAGTTTCTTGAATTGTTTTTTTTTTACTTTTATATCTTTGGCTTTCAATATATATATCTTAGTGAATTATATTCATTTTAATAAATTGTGTATGAGAAAAAAAAAAGAACAAAAAATTATGTACTTGACATAAAAAAAGGATGAGAAGCATTAGGTAAGTATTATAATTTTAATATTGATTGATTGAAAATGGTTGATAATTATGAGTATGTTTGTTTTTATGGTTGATGTTGAGATTAGTTATAATTTAATTATTCAAAAAATTCAATAATAAAAAACTAGTTTTTCTTTTTTATTTTCATAATTTTTTTTGTGGATCCTATATATAAAATTTAACTTCAATTATAAAAACAATCACATTCATTATATGATTAATATCTCAGAATGGTAGGGTTAGATTTGTGGTTAGTCCTAAAAGATATTGATATTGTGATTAAAAAAAATTAAATTATTAATATTAATTGTGTAGAGTTGACTCAATATAATTCAATAATTATATAGGTTCAAAAATAATATAGATAACAAAAAAAATATTTTAATTAAAAAACATTGAAGACAATATTTTTTTTACCTTTTTAGATATTAAGACAATAACAATATATTAAATTAACTTAGGTTAACTTGTTTAATTCATGACATTTATTAAGAGATCATGATAATTTTATATAAAATACATCGACACAAATTATGAAGCTAAATTATCAATTAATCTAATGATGAAAGATAAAATTAAAAAAATAATTAAAATAAAAGGACAAAAAAAAACTATCATAGTCAACTTGCCAAACTCATGATTTGAGTCATGAGATTAGGATAATCTCATAAAAAATAAATTAAAATAAATTATGAAGTTTAATTCTCAATTAATCTAATGTTAAAGAATAAAATTGAAAAAAAAATCTAAAAAAAATAACCTGAGTTAATTTATTAAACTCATGACTCAGGTTATGAGATTATGATAATTTTATAAAAAGAAATTAAAAAAACAACTCGAGTCAACATGTGAAACCCATGACTCGAGTCATGAGATTAAAATAACCCAATAGAAAATAAATCGAAACAAATTATGAATCTCAATTTTCAATTAACCAATTGTTGAAAGATGAAATTGAAAAAAAATCAATCTAAAAAAACACAATAAAAAAGTCATAGTTAACTCAGGTTAACCCACCAAACTCGTAACTTAAATCATAAAATTATAATAAATTTATAGAAAATAAATTAAAATAACTCATGAAACTTAATTCTTAATCAATTCAATATTAATGATGAAATTAAAAAAAATAATTAAAAAAAACTTGGATCAATCGAATTAATCTACTAAACCTGCAACACAAATCATAAAATTAAAATAATCACACCAAAAGCAAATCACAACAAATCTTGAAACATAATATTTAATAAACAAAATGTTAAAAAATTAAATAAAAAGAGAAAAAAATATTGTTATAATTAATGTGTTTTGTGAAGTGCTACACAATAAATACACCACCTTTTTTAGTTTTATTAATAAAATAAAATATTTTAACAATATAAAATGTTGAGAATGTACAATTTTTGCTTTTTATTCTATTCGATGAATGATTGTCAATACAGAGAGTAATCCCTTTTAACTATTAAATTATTTTCTTCATGTAAAAAAGTTTGCATAAGGTATATGAAAAAATAGATTATATTTATGATCTAAAATGTAAAAATTTACTCGATAAAAATACTAAAAGATTTTAATAATCGAAGCAACACGAGAGTTTATAACCAGCAGCTCTTCGATGAACTTACCAAACCTAAATCTCTATCGAGAAAACAGGTTTTTTAAGCTTCACCATCATCAATATTGCATTCTGTGTGCTCCTTCTTCCTAGAAAGACAAACTCGTCACTGAGCTCCAATCTTCGTCTTTTTATAGCAGCAATGAGATCATATAAACATATGATTTGTTGTCGAAACTCAAACTACAGATACAATTCCTTAAATTTCAATGCTTGCTTAGTTAGAAGTTGGCTGAACAAAAATTGGAGTACTAGTAAAAACCATGAATGCTAACGAGATCTGGTTTGAAATGATCCTAACAATGACGAAGATTTCTTCTCCATAATCCTCTCTGAAATGAAAGGCGATATGCCTGTGGTTTGAAATGATGAAGATGAAGAGGGAGGTGGAGCCGAGGCTTCATAAGTAGAGTGAGCACCATCTTTACTGCTCAAACTCGTACTTGTTCCACAACTAGACCCTTCTGTCAAGGCCTTGGGTGCTGGTGGCATTGCAATCTCTATAATTCCCTCAAGCATCTGCACTACTTTTCCCATTGTTGGCCTTTGAGAAGGATGCTCCTGAATGCACCAAAAGCTAACCTGAACAGCCCTCATCAC